CTGTCAAAAGACTACAGTGAGTCTAAACACAGCCAAGAGCCTTCAGGTGCCTGGGGGTCCCTGGCGTGGATGGCTGCCCACAGTGCTGTCTGTCTGAGGTTGTCTATGGCCTCATCCAGCACAGCGTCTGTGGAATGGACAAGAAGGTGTCATTTGTGGTGTCTGGCACGGTTAGTCACTGTGGTGTGGACAGGAATGGGACACTCACAGAGCCGTGGGTCAAACAAGAGCAGTGTTACTCAGGTGTCCGTAGTGCAGACCAAACAGGCACAGACAGGGGTCGATCGCCAGGTCCGTGGAGGGGACAGGAGCTGGTCACTTACAGTGTCGGCAAGGTGGGCCAGAGCAAGGTCATCCTTGCGGGCCATGCTGAGGACACAGAGAAGTTACTCAAATTATCTGTGCGGATGGCAGCGGGGCCACCGCTGGCCTGTGGGAGCCCATCCGGTCTACAGGGCAGTGGGTGCCCCAGCATTTTCAGACGTTGGGAACTGGATGAGAGAGGGTTATGCCAGTTTCACTGGGCCAATGGGGCTTCCCTAAAGTGGACAGGACACAGATCTTTACAGTTACTTTTTATATCTTTGAGCATTTGAATATCTTGTTCTTACATCTTTGTAGCATTGGGGGCAATAATGTCAAACACTGAATAGAGGCATCCATCTGTGTGGAGTCTCATTTTCTACATCAGGATGAGGACTTATCTTCTGATTTGGGGATATTTTCCTAAGATAAGCTGCAGTCTAGACGATATAGTGTGAACGCAGAAGTGTTGTGATCGCAAGTATTTCAGTGACATGTGGTATAGCTTAGAATATCTGAGACTGCCACTGCTAGAAAATCCAGGGAGCATGGTCCCCAGAGTTACACAGAGCAGTCAGCGGGCCGAGGGAGAAGCAGCAGTGGGGTGAGGTGAGGGGGCGGGAGGCTGTCTTTGAAATACAATGTTATGTCTGTCGACTGGAATTGGATAGAAGCCGAGGTGTTAGGGGCTCTAAGGGAGACTCCTGTCATACACTGTGTTAATGGGGTGACTTGCAGCTCTGTCTTGAAAGAAGTCACATGTGAACAGGGTCAGCAGCTGCCATGCTCAGTCGGTGCTCACTTACAGATATTCACCCCCAGTGAAGAAGGGGGTGAGGAGGCAACCCTAATACAATGGACAGTGCAAAAACTCTCTCCTGATGTTTTTACATGCATTAACCATGCTTTACATACTTTCTTTGGCTTTGTTGCATTCTAGGTTTGTAGTGCCTGATTGCACTACAATTATAATAGGACAGGATCGAGTATAGGGAATGGTGGCTGAGCTGGTGACCACCAATATTTCCAAATGGTTAAACACAGTGTCAGAAAGACGGTCAGTGGGGTTGCAGGAGGCAGGCGTGCATTGTGTCACTAGAATGGAACTGAAGATGTCTGTGTAGCACATGGTGCATATAAACATAGCAGAAGCATGCTCAGATTTTTAGAGACCACTTGTTTTGAGGACATGACAGAGTATATGGATGTAGGGCCAGGACAATGGGTGGGGAGGACTTTAGGTTTAGTTACACTGCCTCCGTAGGCAGGTACAAACCAACATTCACAGAGTGTTTACGTTGAGCAAGTATGTTATTCAACGTGTGGTTGAGAAAATAGGGTCACGTCACTGTAGCCTTCATAGTGATTATAGTATTCTTGTTGTCAGAGCTGGATATAGGGAGCAAATCTTACACTGTGTCAATTCACTAGAAAAGGATATAAAAGCCCTTCTACATAAGTAGGCTTACATTAGACATGATGGCTTTTTGCCCCATATAAATGGTATCTGTGTCTATATGGTGTCCAGGAACTTGTCACGTACTTGTTACATCCGCAGCGTGTCTAGGGACCTGTTTGTTTGGTTATGTCAGTCTCTATTGTGTAGAAACTGCAAGGTTGGCTCATTGTGTGTATGTGCACACACATGCACACACATATGTATGGGTGTGTACTTGTGCAAGTATGCGCGCACGTGCGATATCTCAGCAGGACAGCAGACATTCTGGGTGGCGGGCCTTCACATTAAACCTAGTCCAGGGAAGGTGCAGGTTTAGGTGCAGCCATGGGTTCCACAGGTCCCAGAGGTCATCTCTAGGCTGGTGACCTCCCACCTTTCTCACACCTGGACTTCTGGTTGCTGAGAGTTGACTTGTCAGAAGACCTTGGTTTGAGTTTACCTGTGCCATTTGCTTAGGAAACCTGAGTAAGTGTCTAGATTATCTGACCTTCAGTTTCCTCATCTATGGATTCAGCAGAGTTTCTGTGTGCCTCTAAATGTCCTCCCAGCTCATAAATCCTGTATTTCTCTCATACTTTCTCTCTCATCAACAATAATTACAATACTTAACATTTCTGTGACCCTTAAGTTTAACAATGCATTTTTTACACTATCTTAATTTTATTAGAATTACCTGCAAAGGAGTATTTTATCCCCTTTATTAAGATAAGAAAATGGATATTCAAATAAATTAAATGATTTCCACAATTGTTTTAAAATCAGCAAGGTACAAAAAAGGCAGAACTAGAAATTGAACGACACTCTTTTAACTCTGCATCCTTCCTTCCTTCATTCATTCATGCAGTCTTTGCTGAGGGTCAACTAAGCTTCAGACAGAGGGCGCTGAACAGTTAACATTGAAGTGTTCACACCCTCATAAAGCTCATGATCTGGCTCCGAAAATAGACATTAAATATGTAGTTACAAGGGCAGTGAGTGTGAGAAAAATAAAGTCTTCTCCTGGGGGGAGAGGAGGCTCCCACACAGAGCTGCAGTACATGGGAAGGCCTCCAGCAGAGAGGCCGGCAAGCCCAGGGGCCTGAGAGCCAGTGTGGTGAGGGAGGCGAAGAGGCTGTTGGAGAGGCAGGCAGAGGCCAGGTGGAGGCGGGCACACAACCTGTGTTGGGCATTTGGGTTTCATCCCAATGGCAGTTAGAGGATACTGAAGAATTTAAATAGTAGTGGGGCTTTTAAGACACACTCAAGTGCTGGGTAGAGGATGCCTTGGAGAAGGGGCAGGAGAAGCTGTGTCAGGGCTGGGGGCCATGCTGCACCCCAGGTGAAGCAGCCTGGGTGAAAGAGGACTCTGGCCTGCTCAGGGGCTAGCAGTGGGTTTGGCGAGAAGTGGGCAGACTTGAGGGGTATTGAAGAGGTGGGGTCAGTAGGAATCCGTGACTAGATTAGATATGGGCAATGTAGGCTAAGAGAGAAACAAAAATTTTACTTTGTAATTGAAAAATAATGATCAAACACGTAGTATAGGCCAGATATTGAGCTACATACAGACACTTGAGCGGGACAAATGTACTTCTTGATCTTGTGAAGTTTATCACTTATTCAGATAGATGATAAATCGAAATACACAAATAACTATGTAACTATAATTATGTAAATGTTAAAAAGGAGAAGGAAAGTGGAGTCGATAACTGCCACAAAGAGTACTGTAACCTAGTCAGAGGATGGGGGAAAATGGAAGGGGTTAAACTGGTAAACTGGTAAATTGGAGTCTCACAAATAACAAGAGAGTGTTTCTAATGTCACTAGTATCAAATACTGAAAAGAACTTCCAAGATAAGCAACCATAGAGTCCCTTTTGGAGTTAAAAACTTGTTTGTAGGGCAGGCAGGCAATATGTGAGGCTCTGAAGGCAACAGGTATGAACAACTCCTTTTACGGGTTAGAAAAATGAGGAAAGCATGAGCATGCTTACATGCTGGCGGGACAGTTGTAACAGGTGAAGGTGAGAGAGAGAGATCACTCATGGCATGTGGCCCCTGAGTAGGATGGCTGAAGAGGATGGGGCTAAGTGGGGAGGGACCCCTGCATATTGGAGGGGAAAGATGGAAAGAACAAAATGTTGGTCACTCTGAATTGCAAGAAACTGAAGCAGTTCCTCTCCTTCAGTGTCTCAATACTTTGTGAAGTATTTGCTGGAAGTGAGAACAGGGGCAGGAAGGTCAAAATTTTGAGAAGCAACGAGAAGAGATCACAAGGTTGTTGGAGAGAAGGGGGGAGTAAAATAATGAGGGGAGCAGTTTTATTGACCTCCCTGAAATAGGCAGTCTCTGTGTCTACTGCAGTTCTAATCCAATAAGTCATTTTGTGTTACAATACCTGACTCTATAATTGAAAACAAAATTGTTAATTAGGGACAAGGCTTTGCTAGGCACTATGGAAGATAGGCTGAGTACAATCCAGACCCTGTGTAAAGGCGATTACACTACACTTTGCCTCTGACATGGGCTGTGATGACTGGACCTGTTTTAATCCCCTGTTGGCAGATGAGGGGGAAGATCCCCCTCCAACATGGCTTCTTTGGGCTGTTAGACCTGGGGTGTGTCACTTATAGTGTCTTGGAGTTAAGTAGGACTGAGTCACTCTTGGTGTCCAGAGAGCTAACAGGGAGAGACAACATGACATAATCCCATCTAGACAGTAATGACCACTGGAGCACTTGGGACTCTGACAATGAGGCTCTAATTCAATCACTTACTATCTGTCTCCCCACCAGACTTCAGGGCCCAGGATATTGTCTTGTTCACTGCTGAATGCCCTGCACTTAAAAGGGTCACTTGCTAAATATTTATTAAATGGACGAATAAATGACAAGTTTTTTTTTTTTTTAAAGATTTTATTTATTTTTAGAGAGAGGGGCAGGGAGAGAGAAAGAGGGAATGTATGAGAGAAATGTTGGTCAGTTGCATGTGCCCCAGCCAGGGACCGGTCCACAGCTCAGGTATGTGCCCTGACAGGGAATCGCACCAGTGACCTTTCTCTTTGCAGGCCTCTGCTCAGCCTGCTGAGCCACGCTGGCCAGGGATCAATGACATGTTTTTGCTTATTTTGTTGAGTAGCTTTTGTCTCCAAGAATGACTCTCAGTGGAACCCAGGGTACATCCCACTCTTGTTCTCCATGATCTGCCCCTCTGACTGGTGAAAGCAGGAGAGGTGATAAAACCTTGTCTGTTATTGCTCTTTAGGGTTCAGCCCCGATGGAGGCTGAGAAGCCCCGACACGGAGCATCGGCTCCCATCCCTGCCACAGAGGAATCCAGCATTATCCCTGAAGCTCTCACGAGAACCAGCCAGACCTCTGCCATGGGGCACGGAGCTCAGGAAGGCCAGGAGCAATCCTATAAGTGGGCAGAGGGACACCAACTCTTAGAGACCCAGCAGGGAGATGTAAGAAATGTGATTGACTATGGAACTGAGAGCATGACCTCTTCCCCCAAGGAAGGCCCTGCGGATGTGGGGACCAACCAGGAAAACCTTGCAGCTGAGGCTTGGGACACTCCAGAGTGCCAGGAGGCAGTGCCCCAGGGCCCGGCAGGCAGACAGCCAAGGACTCCAGCTCCCCCTGAGCTCCGGGTCTGCCCTGGCCAGAGTGAACCTCTAGCCATGGTCCCAGAGCCCAGCAAACTGAGCGGCAGATTGGAGGAGGAATTGCGACCAGAGCTCCCTGCTTTGATGCTGGGGCCTGGACATGCAGAGGAAGACGAGGAGACTTCTCCGGGCGCCCCTGCTCAGGCCGCAGGCTCACCTTCCGGTGAAGAGCGCCCTGCAGAGGCCAGCCCACTGCAGGGCTCTGGGAGCAGGGCCCTCAGGCAGGGGGACGGGCTGCGGCAGGCCGAGGGGCTGGAGGGGGAGGGGCCAGAGCAAACGGGGTTTCAGGAGTCTCTAGGGGAGGCTGTGCGCCCTGGGGGGCTTCTCAGGGGGCAGGGACAGTTGGGGGAGCAGGTGAATGGTACAGAGGGAGGTCACAGGCAAACACGGGGGCAGATGCAAGATGATGTGATGCCTTCAAAACAAGGAGAAAGGGAGGGGCTTAATGGGGAATGTGGGGGTCTGAATTGTGGTGAGTCATGGCAGGGGGCTCGGGGCCAGGAAGATCTAGCCATGGGCGAAGAGAGGAAGAGGGAGTTGAGGGGCCCAGAAGAGAACAGCATGGATGCTCAGGACCAGGAGAATCAAAGCTTAGTGGGGAGGTCAGTGAACGTACCTGGAAAACAAGAACATCAGGGTCTGCTGGGGGAACTGATGCTGGAGGAGGAGGTGGCGGAGGAGGAGGAGGAGGAAGAGGAAGATTGGGATGGTACTGCGTGGGGAGAGGAGGGAGAGAGGAGCACAGAAGAGGGGGAAGAGCCCGATGGTCCTCCTGCGCTGGCTCTGGCAGCCCCCGAGCTCTCTTCTCCCCGTGACTCGTTTCCAGACGCCGACACCACCACACCCGGGGTTCCTGGAACTCAGGCAGAGCTTCCGGCTGAGCAACTGTCTCCCGCAGTAGCTCTGACTCCTGCACTGGAGCCAATGGGACGGTCCTGTCGGCCCATTTCTTTACGTAGCTCCTTTTCTGCTGCGGGGTCACCTGATCAAGAAACAGCTCAGGACAGCCAGCAAGAGGGAGTTGAGCTGGGGATGGGGGCAGCATCCAGCGGGGGGACTGCGGCGGCCTCTGCCAGCACCCCTGAGACTCCTCGGAGGACACCGGATTCAGCTCCTGCCACTCCTGCTGAAGTCTCCCCCAGCACCATGGCCTCATCATCTGCCAGCCCCCCAATTGCCATCCCCAGGAAGAGGGCCTCTCTTGCTTCATGTTCTCCAGAAACCTCCAGAGCCTCTTTCTTGATCGGCAGCCTGTCTCCTCGTGGGGCTTCTGAGACCCTCCCGGCCGCCCTCCACGGCCTCCCCTCTGCAGCAGCCACCGTGGGCCCGTGCGGCAGTCCCGACCGGGCTGGCCCTCAGGGCCCCTTGGCCAGCCTCCCAGGGGCCAGCCCCCACCTGAGGAGCAACTCCTTCCCGGGCTCCCAGAGGACACAGCTGACTCCGGACCTGGAGGGAATATCGCTTTCCTTCTCCCACTCAGAGTTGCCCCAGAGGCCCCCCAAACCTGCCCCCTACGGCGCTGTGATCTCAAGAAGGGACAGGAAAAGCAGTTGGCACTGCGGCGTTATTCCAGAGTCCCCTAGTTCATTGTCCGCTCTGGGGCAGGACTCTGGGGAATTCGCCGCAAGCCCAGACAGGCCCAGCAGTCCTCACAGCCGCCAGCCGTGGGGCTCCCCCCGTAGTTCAGCCTTTGCCCCAGGGTCTCCTGCTTATGGCTCTTCGCCTCCGCTTGCCTTCGTAGATACGAGGCTCCAGGAATCTCCACCCCCTGCTCTCCCAGAGAAGCGGCATGTCCGCACCTCCACGGTGGAGACAGACGGCCGCCACGGTGTGGCGGTCCCCACACTGAGGCAGCGCAGCTATCCTCCACTGGCCCCAAGTGTGGGGCTACGTGGCCCCCCCAAAGGCCCACTTCCCAAAGTTCCCGAACCCCTTGTGGCAAGGCAGTACCGACCTCTGCCCTCTACCCCAGATGATCCCCCCCCTACTCCGACCTCTTTCTCCCTGAGGCTGAGATACAACAAGCCGTTACCCCCAACCCCTGACCTGTTCCAGCCCCGCCACTCGCTTCCTTCTGATAACAGCCCAAGGGTCTACAGGCCGCCACACCCTGTCCCTGTCGCAGAACCTCTCACCGAACCACCCCCGCTGCCCCCGAAGTCCAGGGGAAGGGCCAAGAGCATCCAGGGACCACTCATGAATTCAGGGGGCCAAGCCAAGCCAAGGCCTGTTGGTCAAGAGTGGACAGTCTCCAGCCCCCACTCTGCTGGACGGACCTCCTGGCCCCCAGCCGTGGGTAGATCAACAGAGTCATTGGCTCCCACCAGCAGGAGTAAAAATGAAGTGTCCCCTGGCATGGCTTTCAGCAATGTGACGAACCTTCTGAGCCCCTCTTCCCCAACCACGCCCTGGACCCTGGGGCTCCAGGGACCTGCCTCTGAACCAGGGTTCTCAGGAGAGGCAGAGGCCCCTGCCAGAGGCTCTTCGAGAAGAGCAGCACCTCAGGAAGGAGCCAATGGCCTAAGGAGGTTGGATCTAGGTCAAGCGAGGCAGCCTGAAAAACCCAGCCATCCCCACCTGGAGAAGGCGTCCAGCTGGCCCCACAGAGGGGATCCAGGAAGGCCACCGCAGGGCAGCGTTGGACAGGCTGCAGCCTCTGCTGAGGCCTCGAGTAAGCCCAAGGGCTGGCATCGGCAGGGCCTGCGCAGGCCTTCCATCTTACCCGAGGGCACTCCAGGTGAGCAGAGTGTCCTCACAGGACCACGCTTTCCGCAGCTCTTAGCACCTGTGCCCAGAGCTTCTCCTGTCTCCCCTGCTGGCTTCGCTCACCCCATGTGCCCAGCGGCAACACAGTGAAGCCTTTGAAAGCCCCTCTGAGCTCACAGACGCTCTTGATTCTCTTTCCCCTCCATCTCTGCCTGCCATGCGACCACGATGTTCTCTTATTGTGTGTCTCTGCTTCCCAAGGTTGTCGGGTCACTCCCCGCTCCCCAGGCACATCCCACTTTCCAGTTCCCAACATGCACTTGGTGTCCTGCTCAAAGTAGAGAAGACATCTTCTAAGTCGTCCAGTTTACAGTGTGTCCCTTCCTGGCCGTAATGTCCTCAAATGCTTTCTGCTTGGGCACCTCCCTCCCTCGCAGATTCCACGTGCGCCCTTGTATCCCTGTCCCCAGATGCCTCCATCTCCCACGCTAGGTTTCACCTTCTCCGGCTATGTCTGAATGTCCCTCCAAGACCTCAGTCACCTCATCCACTTCTATTTTCAGATACAAGAGGTCCAGCCATGGAAAAGTCCCCTGGCTCTTCAGACACCATTATTTTTCGGTGAGTCACCCTCTCTCCCATCAGGCACACTTGTTCTCTCTTCTTAGCATTCTGAGATTTCTATTAGTTAACAAGGGTCCTGAGACCCTGCCTCTTCCAGGCGGAAGAGAAAGACACCAGGATTCCAGGGTAGGGAGGCTTTTGATGTGTGTGGCTTTGTTACCTGAGTCCATATTTTCCATCCTCCTAAGCCCTTTGGCTTGAACTAGACCCCTTGTAAAGGATCAACATGACATCCAAAAAAGCTACAACTCATCTCTCGTGGCGCCCTGGCCCCGACATCCCAGCGCATGTCCCAGAGGTCGGAGACGCCCTCATCCTCAGGCACCAAGGCCTCCTTGTGGCCAGTGGCCAGCAAGCACCCTTTTTGCTCCACAGGGAGAAAAAGCCTAAGGAGGTGATGGGAGGCTTTTCAAGACGCTGCTCGAAGCTCATCAACTCCTGTGAGTCCCTTGAAACGGAGCTAGAGATGCATGTGGGTGTCTGCCTGGGACTAGAGAGGGCTCGTGGCTGTCACAGTGGGGGTGGGGGGGACTAGCTACAGGAAAAGTGCCAGGACGGCCGGAGGCAGTCTGGTGGTTTCTGTCTGTCTCTGAGCGTCAGTCCCCCAAAGTCTCCCTAATTCTCTCTCTCTCCCATGCTCCCTCCACCCCCAGCCCCGCTGCTATACCAGGAGTACAGCGATGTGGTTCTGAACAAGGAGATTCAGAGCCAGCAGCGGCTGGACAGCCTGGCAGAGGCCCCGGGGCCTGCCTCCCCACGGCAGCCCCGGAAGGCGCTGCTGTCCTCGGAGTCTTACCTGCAGCGCCTGTCCATGGCGTCCAGGAGCTCCCTCTGGCAGGAGATCCCTGTGGTGCGCAACAGCACCGTGCTGCTCTCCATGACCCACGAGGACCAAAAGCTGCAAGAGGTACCCAGCAGGGCCAGGGCTGTGGCGGGGCGGGGCGGGGCGGGGCGGGGCGAGGGCGCCTCTCCTTCCTCACATCCTCGCCTCCTGTGGAGCGCCGCCACCGCCTGCCTCAGAGGGGCCCGGATTGCTCTCTGGAGGTCATCGCCATCCTGACCCTGCACTTCCTCAGGCCATGGGCCATCTGCTACTGCCTGCTACTGGCCCAGACTCACCAGGGGCCATGCCTCTGGCTTTGGCGGGGGGAGTGTGGAGTTAATCCCACCACCGATGTTGCAGGCGAGACTAAAATTTCCCTCATCAACCAGGGCTTCAGCCGCCACTAAAGATAGGTCTTTTGAATGCCCCTTGCTCCTGAGTGCCCTTTGCTCTTGTCCTGTGGTCCATTGGACCCATAGAGGCTTTTGAATTTCCATCAATCTCTGCTTGGTCTTCACTCCCGAAAGCAAGACTGTGGTGAAGGCTGTTTCTGACGTTAAGCTATTGCCATGAATAGGTGCCGCATGGAGAGCTTCTCTAATAATCAGTCTGAAATGTGGGATAAACCTCTCTTCCCAGGAAGACAGTGCAGCCCAATGGAAAGGTATTATGGAATAACGTGCAAGTGTTTAGGTTCTAGATTAAAGGACCTGGAAGCCCGCTTTTATATTTGCTAGCTATTTAACTCTGGTCACATTACCTGCTCTTTCTAAGCTCCTGTTTCCTCATTTGTAAAACTGCATTGCAAAGAGGTACTGGGAGAAATTTTTAAAAAAACAAGATAAGTTTCTAATATGTAGTAATCATTCAAAGAATGTTTAGTACTTTAATTTCCAGCTGGGCCAACTAGGGTTTGAAGCCCGGCCTCACCATTTACTAGCTGTGTAAACTTAGGCAAGTTATATCAGACTTTGCTCAGTCTGTTTTCTCATCTAAAAATTGAGGATAATGAATATTTACCTTTCTCGGCTGCCATGCGGTTTAAATGAAGTAACACATATCTAGCGTTTAACTAGTGTGTGGAACATAGTTTGACAGCCATTAGTGTCCTACTCTCTCCAGAAGGACTTAAGAGTTAACAGTGCTTTTACCAAGCCTAACAGAGACAGGTGTAAGTTTTAGGATTTTTGAAGCTTAAACTTGCGGACATGTTCTGACCTCAACTTTTAAAGCACGCGGAGCATATTTAGAAAATCACTGCTCTGCCCCAGATTTGTGGTGCAAACACTGGAAGATGGTGGAGACCTGCGCTCTCCTTCAGCGTCTCCAGCTCACTCGCGAGCCCCCGGGGGCTCCCGGGGCTCCTGGGCCAGCCTGGTCTCACATCCCGAGGAATCAAGCCTCTGCTGGAATCTATGAGCCCGTGTGTCTTTCATCAAACAGCGCTTCTGGGGTCTCCAACATGCTTTCACAGGCTCCATTTCTTTTCACTGACACTACATCTTTGGGAGGTGGGGGTCACTTTCCCTGCACAAAAAGACAAGAAACGGGTTCAGAGAGGTTAAAGGAGCCACCCAGAGCCATAGAGTGGGAATGCTAGGGCCAGGAGGCAAAGGAGCCTTCCGTGTCCAGGTTCAGGGTTGTCACATGGGCGGGCCAGCCAGCCACGTCATTGGTTATCCAGGTCATCGCCCAGGTGCGTGTGCCTTCTTTTTCTGTTCTATCTGTTCATCTGTCCTGAAGCTGCATGCTTGGACAAAGGGCATGGCCAACCCATCTGGAGGGGGCAAGGCCATGGGTCACTGCACCCCCTTCGGGAACCGCAAGTGCTGGGCGACTTCCATTAAACCATAGCAGCACTGTCTCATTCTCAAAAATTCCTGCTTCCTTCCACTTCTCCTCAAACCCCAAATCACCTTCATCCCCTTAATTTGTTCCTCTTTCAAAGTTCTCTGGCTCTGGAAGTGACTCTATCATTTACCCAGTTACCAAAATAAAAAACTGGGGCATTAGCAACGACTCTTCCTGCTCTTTTTGACCCCTTTTCTAGCAGATAACCAGGTTCTTCCCCGTGTCCCTCCTGAATAATCACAAAACTGGCCGCCTCTCCTCATCCCTGAGGCTGTTCAGGCCTTCATCTCTTATCTGGAATTAAGGCAACAGTTTCCTAATATGGCTCACCTGCCCCTTCTAATCTTTTCTCCACATTGTGCTTAGGAACAACATATTTACAATCTAGCTATTCTCCTAGTAAAGCCTCATTTTGTTTTTCCTTCGTCTTAAATCCAAACTTGTTTACATAATCCTCTAGGCCTCCACCCTGTTTGCGTCTCTAGCATCATCTCCTGTCACTACTTTAGTACATGGTTCCAAAACCACACAGCTTCAGTTTCTTGAAAGCATCCGGTTCTCTCACACCTCTGGGGGCTTACATACGTCCCCCCTTGGCCTCCATGCTCCCTCCCTCTCCCTTGCTATAAGGTTAGGTCCCCGTGTGATGGTGAGTGACAGAAGGGTCTGTCTTGCCTGCCACTCTACTCCTAAAACATGCGCCAGGTACTCAATGCTGTTTTTAATCGTGCTTCCTCCTCCCCACCCCCCTAGGCCAAGTTTGAGCTGATTGTGTCAGAGGCCTCCTATCTGCGCAGCCTGAACATAGCTGTGGACCACTTCCAACTCTCTGCGCAGCTCCGGGCCATCCTCACCAACCAGGATCACCAGTGGCTCTTCTCTCGGTTACAGGACGTGCGTGATGTCAGCTCCACGTAAGATTCCTCCTCTTCCACATACGCTCACGCAGCCCCACTGCCTTTAACCTGTACCCTGAAGAGGAGAGGGTGGTGGGTGGACACATCCATTGGTGGATGAACAAATTAATGAGAAATGCCTCTTGGGGTGAAGTTTGGGATGTACTGTGGGCATGCAGTGCATTGGAGATGAGATTCGGGAAGCACCTAAAGATTAGAAAACCAAAACATATTCCAAAAGAACAGGAAATGGAATATTAGGACCAGAGAGTTACGCACAGCATGGGGCACGGAGCCAAGGGCAGTCAATAGAAGCTGTTTGCTAACACAGAGATGTCACAAGCTCAAGGTAGAGCAGGGGCCAGCCAGCGGCTCACTTGGGGCCGCAGGTCTCAGGAGACTTGTTTGAATCCTGCACAGGTTCCTTTCAGACCTGGAGGAGAACTTTGAGAACAATATCTTCACCTTCCATGTGTGCGACGTAGTCCTGAATCACGCCTCCAACTTCCGCCGGGTCTACCTGCCTTATGTCACCAACCAGACCTACCAGGAGCGCACTTTCCAAAATCTGCTGTGAGGCCTGAACCCCATTCAACCCCCATGTGGGCCCAGTAGTGACCTTGCACCCAAACCTCCAACCCCCACCCAGAGTGCTGTTGCCAGAGCACATGTTCTTGGGCCTGCCCTGCGGTCCCAAGCCCCAGCCTGCCCTCCAGACCAGAGGCCCTCGGCCGTTCCTTCTGGATCCTGTGTACACGGGGTCCCGCCATTGTTCCCTGACCCACCGATGTTCAGTGGGACGCCGTCACTGTGTCCTGCCACGTTCCCTGCCCCTCCTTACCCGAGGCTTGCTGTCTGCACAGGACTACTAACAGCAGTTTCCGCGAGGTCCTGGAGAAGCTGGAGAGCGACCCCATCTGCCAGCGCCTGTCCCTCAAGTCCTTTCTGATTCTGCCTTTCCAGCGCATCACCCGCCTCAAACTGCTGCTCCAGGTACAGACCCCGCCTGAGTGATTCCAGGCCTTTCTTCTGCCACTGTCCCACACCCCGGGGGCCATGTGAGCAGCCTCCCCACTGCCCATACCTTCTTCCTCAGGGCGAATTTACTACTAAAATGTTGTTCCTGGGCTTCTCTGTTAGCCCACCCCCATCACCTCCTCCTGTTTGCCGCCCTTCCCCCATCGGGCTGCCGTCTACTGTTTGTTCCATAGAACATTCTGAAGAGAACACAGCCCGGCTCCTCAGAGGAAGCAGAGGCCACGAAGGCTCACCATGCCCTGGAGGAGGTAGGCAGTCTCCACCCCCCACCCCCGTCGCAGAGACGCCCTCCTCCGCCCAGGTCCCTGAGCACAACCGATGGGACTGCCCAGGCCGCTCGCTGCCCCCCACACCTCCCTCCTCCCCCGGCCTCCTCTCCCGCCCCAGCACACTGCTCTCACTGCCGCGGGCTCCTGATTCCACCTTCCTCTCCCTCGGCCCAGGAATGCTGATCCTGTCACACCGACTATACAGAGTCCTTGAACTTTAACTTGAGACCACCTTCACGCAGTTCAAGCCTGGTAGAACAGACTGTGGTTGTCATAACTACCAATTTCCAGGTTTCTTGCAGGGCACTCAAAGGTCAAAGTCTCTAACACAGCTCTCCCTCTTTCCTCACCCTGCTCAACACTCAGCTGATCCGAGACTGCAATAGCAACGTCCAGAGGATGCGCCACACGGAGGAGCTCATCTACTTGAGCCAGAAGATTGAGTTTGAGTGCAAGGTGTGTGAGTCTTCAGCGTATCAGCAGGTCACCTGCTAACATGGAGCCCTCTTGCTCTCACTGTTCCCCCTCACCGTCTTTAACCTCATGTCTACACGCCTCTATTCTATCCTACTTCATTCTCCATGATACCTTGTTAAGTGTAAAGGGGTGATACGGAGCTATGTGTCCTAGCTTCGGTGGACAAGCAGGATGGTGCGAGTCTGTACATGCACTAGCTTGTGTGCATGTAAAGAAACGCCGGAGGATACATAAGAAATGAAGGGAAGAGGTTACCTGAGGGGCAGAGTGTGCATTTGCAAACTAGGCAAATGAGAGAGAACTTACCAATGAAAGCCTTTATAAAGATATATATTTTGGTGCTTCAACCAATGAATATTTTATCATCTCCATCTAGTGTAACAAAAGCGATATAAAATTGAATCCAAATCCAGGGCCAGAACCTCCCATCCAAATGCACATCTGCAATAGACATTCCACATTTAAATTCCAACTCAGAACAGATGCCATTCTTACTCCTTGCAAGGGGGAACATCCCTTATCCACATATCGATCATAGCTTCCATCCTTATCTTTACTCCAATTCTAGCTCCAAGCAGATTCTATCGGAGTCCTCCTTAATCTCGTTCCCACATCGATTCCAGCTGCTGCTCTATGTCTGGTTATAATCAAAGAAAGAACAGATGTCAGAGCTGCACACACATGCCGTTCCCTGCCGTCTTTCATCACATGCCCTACTGGGCTTTTCCTGTCTCCTTCGGTTCAGGTTTCTAGGGCTGAGCTTTCTCACGTGGTCACTACTCTGGGTTGCGCCATCGGCGCCTGCCACTGCCTCCGCTACGGACTAGGGAGCTGTTCCACAGTAGAGAGCCATCCTTGGGCGGTTCACAGAGAAACAGAGTCTGAGGGGAAGGGTTGTGAGCAAGAGGGAAAGTGCAGGAGAGGGGACGGTCCGTGGAGCTTATGAGCAAGGGGTGGGCGCTTGCCGTGCCTGTGACACTGCCCTCTCCGTCGTCCCCCGCCCTGCAGATATTCCCGCTCATTTCGCAATCACGCTGGCTGGTGAAGAGTGGCGAGCTGACGGCTCTGGAGTTCAGCGTCTCCCCGGGGCTGCGGAGGAAACTGAACACGCGGCCGGTCCACCTGCATCTCTTCAATGACTGCCTGTTGCTGTCTCGGCCCCGAGAGTCAGTGGCAGGAATGGGAGGCCAGCGGGGAATGGGAGATGCAGGCGGGGGGACGAAAAGGGACAGGGAGAGGTCGTGTTCCCGGAGGAGCCCTTCTCAAAGGCCCCGTCCATTGGTCACGGGAGCCTTGGTCAGGGCACAGAGGAGAGAAAGGACAATCCAAGCAAAAAAAGGGGATCCCACCAAATGATGCTGCAAGGTCACACGGCAAGACCTGTACCATGTTACAGGCGCTGAGCAAAATGCAGCAAGTTAGCGATCGCATTCTGCATCGGTCAGTGTGCGGTTTACCTGAGCTGGGCTCCGCCTACTAGCGCAGAGATACTTAGCCAATTCCAGATCCTACCTCTTTGGTCCTAAAGGCCTTAGAAAGTTTATGTTGGTTCTGTCTCTGCAACTCTTTAAAGTGGTGAAGTAGCCATAAGACTAGACATGTGGTTTGCCAAGCTAGTGACAAATCCCTGGGGACTCTGGAGCTACCATCTTGAGAGCAAGTTAGCACCACGTATGGTGTCTGTGAGAATTTGCAGGCTGCAGATGCTAAGGTCAGGGATTTGGGATCCAAGCATTTGGGATGCAGTATGACAACTCCAGGATCTGACTGAAAAGCCTTGTGTTCCGCAGGGGTAGCCGGTTCCTGGTATTTGACCACGCTCCCTTCTCTTCCATCCGGGGGGAGAAGTGTGAAATGAAGCTGCACGGGCCTCACAAGAACCTCTTCCGACTCTTCCTGCTGCACAACACCCAGGGCACCCAGGCCGAGTTCCTCTTCAGCACGGAGACTCAGTGAGAGGGGGCTGGGCAGAGGCGCTGGAGGGGGGCGGGCGAGGGCACGACGGCCTGGCGGGGAAGTAGCACCAGAAAACAGCCACAGCGCCGCTCAGTCCGCCCCGGACGGGGAGCATCCACAGAGAAGCCCGGACTCCTCGAGCTAATGGGCAGCTCTAGGGCACCGCGGGGGACGAGGGTGTGCACTCGCCACCAAGGCTCAGAATCTATTGTGTCCCCTTTAGTCTAGAAGGACAGAGTTGGGGAAGGTACCGGAAAGCAGATGGATCAGTATGAAGTCACCCAAGAGCTGGGTTACTGACACCCCAAGTGAACGCCCACGTGGGAAAGCAAGACCTCAGGGCCAAGGGCCGGGGCGGGGGTTGTGTGTGTGTGAATAAGGCGTGCACTGGGGCGCCCTGGGCGTCTGGCTCCCACCTGCCAGCCCAGGCCCGTGCTGAGCCGAGATCCATACTGCTGACAACTTTGATTTGCTCTTCTTTTAAATAACAGTCAAAGATGCACTTACACATACATGCAGTTAGAGAATATTAAAAAATAATACCTATAAAATCTGGCGTGCAGGGCCAATGAACAGCTACAAGACTGTATCTGTTATTATTTTTAAATCCTTACTGAGGATATTTTTTTTAATTGGTTTGAGAGAGAGAGAAACATTGATGTGAGAGAGAAACATTGATTGGTTGCCTCCTGTATGCACCCTCACCAGGTACTGAGCCTGAAACCTAGGTACGTGCCCTTACTGGGAATTGAACCTACAACCTTTGGTGTATGGGACACACTCCAACCAACTGAGCCACCTGTCCAGGGCTGTACCTATTATTTGCGTTATAAAAGATATATGAAATCTGTTCTTTAAAAAGTTTGACATGTCACCTAATAGTCTAAGGATGCTCATGTTTCAGGCACTTTTCAGTTTTGTCCCCTGGAAGACATTTCAGGGTGGGATCAATAATGCTTGTCTTCACTCACGGGGCCTGGTGTGGGAGTCTGTGTGCAAGGAGTCCCCTACGTCATGAACTCAGATCAGCCCCGTGCGTTTTGGTTGGCACCTTGGGCAGCGCCCCTGGAACAGTAAGTGTCAGCTCTCAAGGACTCTGGCGTGTTTGGAGGCCGAGGCCAAGATCAGGCCAAACCCATTAGGTGGTTACCAAGTTAGGCCTGGGTCAGATCACACAGCAGGAAGGATGAGAAGGTATATCTCCCTGGTCTCTTTTGGAGTACAGATTGATTTTTACCTCTGAGATGTTAATAGAAGGGGAGTGGGCAGAGGTGTGTCGGGAATTATGTGGTGACAGAGGGCATCTAAACTGAGATGAACATTTTACTCAGTACAGTCCCCCAAATGGAAAATCTACCTGTTTACAACTTACAACTGACTTTATGCCCCCACTTGACAAGTATGCGATGCTGCTACAAACAGGGTAAACTTGGAAAGGGAAGGGGGGAAATAATGGCGATAAGACATTAACTTACAGTTCAAGATCCTGCCCTGTCACCGACTTTTGTCCTAGATACCACTGACCTAGACAACTTTGTGAACTAGACAAGTCTTCCCCACAGTCACGCTCGTTCCCCGCCATCGCCCCTTGGCCTTGCCCCCCGAGCTGCCGCTGAAGCAGCGCCCCCGCTTTGTCTCCTCAGAAGTGAAAAGCTCCGGTGGATCTCGGCCTTGGCCATGCCCGGAGAGGAGCTGGACCTTCTGGAGTGCTGTGGTGAGTGCGGGTCGAAGGGGGAGGGAGGGCAGCAGGGCCCGGAGTCTCCGCTGGGAGGCAGGAGTTTGGAGGGCGGGGTGGTCACTCTGCAAGGCTTCCGTTTATTGCTTTTGTCCGGAATTTTCGGGGCGGGAGACTGGCCGCTGGGGGTTGAACACCTGCGATGCAGCTGCTCGAAGCTGCCCATCACCATAGCAGTGCCTCGTCCCCGCCCCCGTACAATCCCTACCTGGGGCAGTGGCTTACTCTTTATAAATATTTGGCCCTGTAAGTCTATCTTGCCTTTTTTTTTTTTTTTTTTTTTTTTGGTGGCCTGGACGTTATCTGCTTAAAGGTCTGAGGGATAAAGCAGCAAAGTCATGGGACAGCACCCAAACAGTACTTTCGTTTTGAGCGCACCCCCTTCTGTACAGGGTGCCCTGAGGCCCCTGCCCTCGCCCCAGGCGTCCAGGTTACTCACAGGCAGCTGCAGACACGCAGGCACACACACACATTGTGAATGCATCTGCATTCACGCTGCGACTGGATTTATGGTCTCCTGTGAGGCCCACGGTTGTCCTCCAGCAAGGATTTCCTGCTCCGTATTCAAAGGGAACTGAACTCAGAGGAAGGCTGGACCTTTGGTGACTCAAAAGAACAAACAAATACAAGGAAGTCGGGAAAAGGAAGTAGGAGAACCAGGCTATAAACCGAGTTCTGTCAATCTGTTCGCTGAGAGACCTATCTGCTGGGCTTCAGCTCCGCAGGGTTGGTGAGGAAGGCAAGGGAGGTAGCTCACCCTCCTTCTCTGTGACCCTGGGGATTGGCAGATAATCACACACCGTCCTGCTTGCTCTCTGAGGGACCTAGCGCAGTGCGGGAAAGTAGAACGGGCAATAAACCCCTGCGAGACGGAATGCTCGTGGGCCAGGAGTACTCCCAGACTTGTTCATCTAGAGCTTCAAAACCATGGAACTTCCCCTGATTCACAAAAACAAAGAAACATAGGAAATCCAGGAATTTTCAAAGTCTCCTCAGACAATGTAGTCAGGTACAGATGAGGAAACTGAAGCGGAAGGGGACCGAGTGCCTTCTTGGCTCAGACCTGGAACCCCACCTGGAACCCCGCTGGTTAAGCCTCCTCCAGGCCCACATCGAGGACCTTGACGATAATGAAGACTGAGTCACAGACTCAGATCGTATAATCTCGTTGCAGACTCAGAGCGCGTACCTGAAGCAGTTAGGTCCGGGATACCTGGTGCGCCCTGGACGATCAGTTTTGAAGGAGTTCAGTCCTCTGAGGGCTAAAGGGTCAGGGAAGGTTTCAGAGGGAATGGGTTGGGAGTAGCTGTAATAGTGAGTCACTAAAGGTGTTCACAGCGTATTTCTCAATTCATCTTCCCTGGAGAAATAGAATTTTTGATTCATTTCAATTTTGGTATCTCTCTTTCCTGGTCAACCATTTCATTTTCTGGTAGAAAATGAAGACCTGTCCAATGGTCTCTTTGGTCTGTAACTTTCTAAAGCTCGAACTTGCTCGACCCCAAGTCCTCTCCGGCCCCGTGCCCAGTCCCTCCTCCGTGCCTCCCTGACCTGTCCTCCCGCCCTTCTCGTCCAAGACTCCCCACAGGTGCAGTGCCTCCGGGCCTACAAGCCCAGGGAGAACGACGAGCTGGCACTGGAGAAGGCGGACGTCGTCATGGTGACCCAGCAGAGCAACGATGGTGAGAGGGGAGCCTGCGAGGCCTAGGCTGGCGTGGGAGGCGGGACACTGTGGGTGGGCATGTTCTTTCCCCGGTGCTGCTGTGACAAAGTACCATGCACCGGACATCATAAAAAACGATAGGAATGTATTCTCTCATGGTATTGGAGGCCAGAAGTCCAAAATCAATGTGTTGGCAGGGCCGTGCTCCCTCTACAGCCTCTAGGAAGGGTCCTTTCTTGCCACTGCCAGCTGCTGTAGCTCCGGGTGTCCCTTGGCTTGTACAGCGTCACTCCAGTCTCTACTTCTGTCTTCCTTCTGTGTGTGTTTGTGCCCAAATCTCCCTCTTTTTGTAAGGATCCCAGGTACATTGGAGTCATGGCCCACTTTGCTCAAGTATGACCTCATCTTAGCTTTACTGTTGGCATCTGCACCGACCTATTCCCAAATAAGGTCTCCCTCTGGGGTGCTTTGGGTTAGGACTTCAACGTATATTTGGGGGTGGGGGGCACAATTCAGCCCGTGAGAGTGGAGAAGGAGCACAAAGGGGCAGGCAGCTGTAGACTTTGCCAGATGTAGGCCAGCCAGGGAGGGCAAACTGGAAGGCTGGGTGTCCCATGTTGTGGGTCTCTGCAGCCCCCTCAGCCTAATGATTCAGAAATGCTTCCAAAAAGGGGGTTCAGGGGAAATGGCGGTGAGTGTTTTCCATGTAATTCTTCTTCCCTCCACCCTGTGCCCCTAGGCTGGCTGGAGGGCATGAGACTCTCGGATGGGGAGCGTGGCTGGTTTCCCATGCAGCAGGTGGAGTTCATTTCTAACCCGGACGTTCGTGCGCGGAACCTGAAGGAAGCCCAGCGAGTAAAGACGGCCAAACTACAGCTGGTGGAACAGCAGACCTAGCTGTTCTCGAGAAGGACCCCTCTCAGCTTCAGGGCAAGGTGTTCTTGGAGCAGGCTGGCCCCACAGCCCTGCAGCAGAGGCCTTATGTGGGCCAAGAGCTGGACCTCCTGAGGGCCCAAGTACGAAACCCAGCTACCAGTTGCTATGCCTGGGCCTCCTCGTTCGTGCTTTGTGCTTGGCCGGGGATTTTGAGGAACTTCGTACTGGACCCTGGAAACCTTTTCTTGTGGGAAAAGGGACTGATGGGGCCTATGCCAAAGAACTTGACTTCTTGTACCACACAGTACTTAACACTCTCTGCTTCCCGAGAGCAGAGTCAGAGCTGACCAGAGTGGCCTTTATGGCCACACATTCAGTAGAGCCTGACCTCAATCTGGAGGGAGACGTTTAGGGGGACCAACACGTCAGACGGGAGGGCCCGCCTGGTGCCTCTCACGTATCTCCCAGCCCTAATGATTTCCCGTAATCATCAGTGTGAGGTCAGTGCATGTGTCCCTGGGATCTGTTGGTGGCGATGTGAGGGCGATATTCTCTCACTCTAATAAACTTGGTACTACTCTGAATGTTTTCTCCTCAGACTCTTGAGCACTGAACCAGGTTCAGAATGCGGAGTCCTGTGAGGCTTCCCAGCTGTTTGATTTAGGTCATGGAAGACCAAGGTGGCATCTAGGTCTTGGAGCCTGTCATAGGTCATGGCATCTGTCACCTCTTGCTTCACGACTCCTGAGAAATTAGGTGGTTTCTCTGCTTGTTATGGCCTGAGAGGATGCATAAGAAATTAGAGGAATTTATGAATAATGAAAACCCTATTCAAACTTTCTTTTTCATTGAACCTTAAGGTACAGGCTAGTTTGGGTGGATTTGGAAATCCTACTCAAGACCACTCATGATTTTATATTTTGACTTGAATTATTGTGACAGTATCTTCCCAGCCCTTTGAGGCTGTTCGTGACGAGCAGTACGGTGTACCGGGAGGGGTCCTGGGATCGCATAGGCAAGAGACCCTCAGTCCAGTTACTGGGCAGCCATGACTCGGCCTGTCCGTCTCTCTCTTTCCTTAAACATAAAATGCAAGATCGGACCAAGGAACCACTAAAGTCCTACCTGGCTCCACAGCGTGTGATTATCGCCAATCAGATCGCCTTTTTCAGTGGAAGAGCATCACTCTTCACACTTTTCCCATATAGAACCCTCATGTAGCAGTAGGACAGCCGTCGCTTAGGCTGGGCCATTTGAGGCCTTTTCTGGACCATCTTCTCCTGCTTTACCCTTAGACGGGCTCAAAAGTAAAACTGCATGGCAGCTTCACCCGCAGGTAAGGATAATACTACAGACTTTGTGCTATAGCCAGTTAATGATGATATGACGTGATGGTATCACGTTTGATAACACATTTTGTTTTCAACCTATCCAAAAATGTAAGTTAGCTTGCTTAATTTTTAGAAAAGTTAACACTATCATAATTAAGAAAGGAGTAATATTAGTTTATCCTAAACAGGTTGACACTACTAAACACTCTCAAATGGGATGGTTTAGAAAAGGTCTAATGGAGTTTTTCACTATTTTCATAAAGCCAGCTTCTTATTAATATATGGTATACTAATATGTATATATTATATGTAAACTAACAGCTACTTTTTCTTAACAGCAAAAACAGTAATTATAATCCAAATTTTTGTTCAAACCAGAATTTGAATACTGGCCATTTGACTCTGACAGGGCCATAGCCGACCTTATATTTTCCAGGCAAATTTTCCCAGAGAGGTAAACATTAACTTCTGAATGATACGCATGCAAATAACTTTCTTTAGCTGAATTACTGCTCCTTTGCTTGAAACTGCTAAGGCTTTCTGAGCGCCTTTGAGGCTAACTTCTGAAAGACTAAGCCATCAGTAGGTATTTAATATGTATTTGTTTAATTGGGTTATTCTCACCTAATCTAAGTTAAAAGACAGTAGGCTTTTTTCTACCTGTCTTTAGGTCCTTGGTTTTAAAGACAAAAAAACATACAGACAAACCAAAAAAAAACCCTAACACAACGTATGTATGAGTAATTTCTCCTCAGCTGAATTACTAAATTTTCTATATTTGGGGTTTCACAAAATTGGGTCCAGGTCCACTCATTTTCCTTTTCTCCTGCAGATTTCCAGGATTCACCTCAATTTATTCTTTAATTCTGATTGGCATCACTGTCTTAGAAACACAGCGGTTCCTTATGAGAGAGTGTGAAACAACCATTAACCAACACTTTTTGGATGGAGCTGCACTGGGGAGATGTACAAATACACAAGGTTTTTCAACAAAACCAGGCACTGGGGTAGCGTGTTCCGGAGCCATCAACAGCAGTCCTGTGTGTGTACCACTTTGCTGAACTGCAACACGCTGGCAGCGTGAAGACACAAAGGTTCCTGCCACGCCCTTTCCTCTGGGCCCCGGACCACCCTGAATGCCCGTCGCGTCTGCGTCCTCACTCAGCCCAGAAAGTGCTCTTACCGTTTATTTGCAGCATCAACTTTTCACTTAGAGTTAACCAGGACCTTAAGATATTTATTGGGCATGACTGACTTGCTCTGTTGTGGTCATTATAATCACTTTAATGAGATCAGCCTACGGGTTACTATCTGGAGGCTTATAGGTTAAGATGTGTTTACTTCTCTTGATTTTATTTTCGGTCTCTTAAACAACTTCTATATCCATGATACAAGTAAAATGGATTTTGGTTCTATGATGGCTGATTTTTTTTTCTTTATTGGCCTTTGGGATAGAAGTTGTTTAGAGGTCTGAAAATCTAAAGAGGCACTCTCCCCTGGCCCTTTCACACACGTATTTGCCCCCCTGGCCCAAACCCCATTTTCTTCAGACTCCGTGGTGCTCTGCCCGTCATAATCGATGTGCCCTTAAGTGTTTCATGATGCTGCCCTTGTCATGACCTCTTCCCGTTCATGAGACCAGATGAGAGACCCAGCCTTCTGGCTGAGCGGCCCTTTACAGACACGATTCCTCGCCCACCTGCCCCGAGAGCGTCGCGGAGCCTTGCGCATGCTTGTACATGGCTTTCCCTCCTGTGCGTAATATCTTGGTGCTGCTGGTGGGGCTCGCTCACTACCCCAGTCCAGTGACTCTGCAGCCACAGTGGCTGTAAACATGACTCAAGAGCTGTCTGTTGTTCAGTCTTCTGACTCTGAAATCAGGTGTGCAGAGGGGCCAAAGGTTACAGGTAAATGAGCGAAAGAGAAACCGATGCCAGTGATTCAAATGTACTGAGAACACTCCTATGTGAGTTTCCGACCCACTTCTTCCTACCTGCTCATATTAAATCAGTTATGGAGTAGAAATTTCTCTGGCCTCTTCCTGGGAGGAGATGCAGGCAGAACATCCATTCAGCCTGCAAAGTTCCCAGGATCAGCAAGGCTGAGGCGGCGGTCAGCAGGAAGACTTAGGGCGTGCGGGTGAGTGGACGCGCTGTTCATTCTTTCCGGGTGGCTGGTGAGCGGGCCTGTGGGCGGGAGGGAGCTGGGGCGGTGTGTGCCGTAAGCGTTTCCTGAGCTGGTGCAGGAGCTCCTGGGGAGGGACGGCTGAGCCCTGCTGCTTGGTGAGTGAGTCATGGGCCCAAGGGCAGAGCCTGCTCCTGGGAGGGGCCCAGTCTGGCCCATAAAGTCCTCCAGGAGCACCAATGAGAGATAAATATTTTCCTGGCAGTTTTCTGAGCATTTCAGAGAGGCAATTACCTCTGAACAATGCGGATGGAAATTCAGGAGGGTGGGGGTCATGTCAGTTTATTGCACTCAGTAGATGGACCAAGGGATTCCCAAGCCCCAGGGAGAATATTCAGATGCTTCTGGAAAAGGTGGTTGAGGGTGACGGACCATGGGACACTGTGGTCCACAAGTCCAGCAAAAGAAACGTTCGCTGTCACAGAGGCAGGCAACTTCAGGGAGAGAAGGGAAATGCAGCAGGCAAAGGAATTGACCCCTTGGGTGGGCCCCACCCAGCCAGGTCTAGAGTGTTTTCTTGTTGAGGTCAGCTTGCAGTGGGGATAAGAAATCGACTCCCTAATGGAGGCGACAAAACCCTATAGAGAGCTGTGTCTAAACACCCTTCCTTGTCACAGTGGAGCCTGGAAGGGGGAGGTGGCTTGCCTGATGTCACACAGCCAGTTTGTTATGAGCTGCAGGCCAGAACTGCTAGGCTTTAAGTGGGTCATGTGCTTTGTGCTCGTCACGAAGGCAGAAGGTGACTTGCCATAAGCTGTGAATGAGCAGCACAGTAGGGTGGGCAGGTTCTTCTTGAGAAAGTGGGTGGAGCAGGTGGTGAGCCTCGTGGAATTGTTAATAAGCAGGTTTTGGTGATAGAATTGAGCTTTGCCAGGCAGCCAACTGGAAACAAAGATAAGGTGTGGTTTGGCCTCAAAGAACTGGGGAGCCTCAAGACTGCGCGTGCGCGTGCAGAGGTGGCTGTTTAGCTTTCAGGGTGGAGAGGGCTAGAGGATCTTTACTAGAAGATGGGATGTCTGCAGGGAGACTGGGCTTCCTCCCTGAATTAGGGCAGTACAGGACTCGCAAGTAAAAGGGGGGAAAAGGACGGACGAATTTTCCAATCAAAAATCAAGGAAAATGGATGTATAAAATTTTTTAAACACTTTGACAGTGGTCCTTTAAATTGGTTCTGCCAATCTGAACGCACTGGGTATGAAGATGTGCTTGATTTCACCAATTCAAATAATTGCTTGTTATGGGAAGTGACAGAAAAGTCAAACCAAAGTGAATCAGGGGCAAGAGTGTAACGAAGAAGTGGGCAGAACGGGGTGCTTGGAGTCGGTAAGGGTGTATTGCTGGTGCTGTTGCGAGCTCCGGAGGGGCGTCCTGTTCCTGGCTGGCCACAGCGACGCGAAGGGGCGAGGACGCCAGGCGGCAGAGGACGCGTGGCCTGGACTCGGTGGGAGGGTCGGCAGGAGCAGCTGTACTGGGTGAGAGTGCACTGGGAAGGACTGAAGAATCTCCCCCATGGGTGGAAATTCCATTCCCAGATGATAAGGCCAAGGCAACAAGAATGTACCTGAGGCAACTAGGCCAGAGTGGCGGCGCGGGAGCTGCAGACGCGGAAGCCGCGGTGCCCCGCCGGGAGCCAGCAGCGGACCCCCATTTTGTACGGCACGCTGCGGGGCCCCGGGGGCTCAGCGCGGCACTCCCTCCGCCCCACCCTTGCCGTGGAGCTCCGCGGATTTCTTCATTGCTCCCCGAGATGCGACTCCCACCCTTTTCACCTGCCTCTCTGGAGGAGGCCGCGATAACCATCTCAAATTGGAATGTCTCCACCCCTCTCAGCTCCCAGGTAGCCAGACTGGTCACAGCTGGGCCCCATTTAGCCCTCCAGCCCCTCCACCTGCCTTGTTTCCCGTCCCCCCCGGGCTCCCGCGTCCACTTCACCGCCCTCTGGGCCTGCAGTTTCCAATTCCCTTTCGGTCCCGGAACCCGCAGCCACCTCTTCCCTTTACCATTCCTCTTCGCCCTCTCCTGTCTCACAACAATGCCCCTATTTCTTTTCAATCAAACAAAACAATACTGTTCGTTATTTAAACTCAGGTCTGGGGTCTCTGGAGGATTCTAAATCCAATCTAGATTACGCTTGTTGATTTGCTACACCTGCACCCACCTTCCGACCTTTATCTTCTCCCTCTAAAACTATGAAAAGACACTGCTTCTTGAAGCTGGTGCCTTCTGACCAATATTCATTTCTTTTGCAACTTTGGGTCAATACTTAAACCTCTTTTTCACATAAATAATACCTTACAGGGTTGTTGTGAAAGGAAATGACCTATCTGAGAACTACATACACAGTAAATGCTAAATAAGTGATTATCATCATTAATATTTTATCCGAGGACAAATATCTGGGTAAACTATTTCAGTTCTTCATATGGTCTTGTAAAACACACACACAAAATTGACTGTCATAAATAGCCATTCACCTATTAAGGCCCTTCCAGTTTCTTAAATATATATTGGCATGCAGAAAGCAAGACTCCTTTATCAGCCTTTGGTGGCATGGAAAATAAACTCACAAGACTTTGATCTTGACTTGATTAAGGTGTTCTTAGGAAATCGTAGAAACCTCCGTGCCCTCTTCTGTAAATCGGGATAATTGTATTTAATTTGCACAATTACTTGACCACCTTTCTCTCCAGACCCACTGGCCCACTCGGGCTTCCTTTCCTACCCGACAGGCTCTCTGGTCCTGTCCACCTGCACCTGGGCCCTCCCTCCTCAGGCTCTGTGACCCCTCCCCTTCGCCCCGTTCTCCTTTCCTTAGCTGATTTTCCCATGAGTCCCTTCTTCATGCCACATGCTCTGCCCAAGCAAGTTGGTACAGTCTCTTCACCTCAACTGGCATTTTCTTTGCTGAAGAGACCCTGCTCCCATATTTTTCTCGCTAACCGTGTCCACAGAGCTACAACCCCAAGAACCTCAGCCTCAATATACACAGTGGTCTCTTCCCCAAATTTGCTCCATCCCCGTATTTCCTTTCTTGACACCATTTCTTAGTTACTGATGTGCTCGTTCTCTTTCCTTTCTCTTCATTTTTTTTCAACTAACTTTCTATCCCATTGACAGATTCTGACTCTTAAGTACTTCACCAATCTGCCCGCTTCTCTCTCCATCTCTCACTGACACCCATGAGTAACCCTGACTTGTTTCCCAGCTTCCCCTCTCTAAGCCTCCGATCTTATTTTCTATTTGTCTAAAACACAAATTTGAGCAAGTCTTGCCCATTTGTGAAACCTGCCAGTGCCCCTCTAATCTCCCACGGTCCCTTCGCCCCCACCATTGGCCTCTTTCCTACGCGTCCAGCCACTCCGCACTCCTTCGTCGCCCCTCCAGTCTCCGTGGCCTTGCGCTCACTGCGCCTCTGGCCTGAAATGCCCCGTCCTTCTTGGGGGAGTAATGTCTTGGGCTCGGACGCTTTCTCAGCCTGGGCAGGCACAGCTGCCCCTCCCGGCGGAGGGTGGCTTCCTCTGCATTTGGTTCTCATGGCTGACCCTCGGCAGGCAGGGTAGTTTGTGGTTTGTTGGGCTCCTGAAAGCTGGAGGGCTGTTTTATTTACCTGCGTCCACCCAGTACCGTAGGTGCCTGTTGATCCCCACTGAAAGCCCAAGTGAGCACCTGCCTTTTTTCTGAGGACTTGGTAATGCAACTCAAAGGAGAGGGTACTTTTGAAAGAACAGTGTCACCTAAACTGCAAATATAAGAACCCTAAATCCCCTGGACTATCCCTCTGGACTAAGTTAACACCACTCGTGGGTGGATGATGATGTTTTACTTCCAGGAAATCAGACTTGCCCTTCATTCATAAAGACCATTCAAGACTTGGAGTGGAATCAACAAAAGCCAAGTTGTCCTTTGCAGCCTGTTTTTCTGTGCTGTTTATGCAAATGATGTTAAAATAGACATTTAAAAATAATTAGAATGGGCTCTCTCAGAAATATATAAATAATATAAAAAATTTAGCTAATAGGAACAAAAACTATCATAGGGATCCCACAGGGTGCTGAGCATTTTTTAGATAAGAGTGAGGCCTGAACGGAGGGTCCTAATGGGAGAAGGGAGTGGAGTCGTCTGTGAACGGGGTTCACAGCGTGATCCCAGGGCTGCTCAGGAGCCTGAGCGGCAGGAAGCTGGGCTGAGAGACAGGCCAACGCTGGACCGCCTCTGCTTGAATGGAGGAGCTGTCATGGGTGCGGAACCCTCAGCAAAGCGCTGCAACTAGGGTTGCTAGCATTGTCGTACATAGAAACACAGGACACACAAGTATCATGGATGCATACGTATCCGAAAAAACGACTGGTTGCTCTGCAACTCAAATGTAACTGGACGTCCTTGTATTTTATCTGGCAAACCAAGCTGCAATCCAAATGACTGTAATATCTTTGAATCTGATGTTAGTGGCTCTAGGACTTTCAGGAGAATTAGCATGGGCTTTCTTACTGTAAACCAGGGATTTTCAACTGGCGTGCCACGGGAATCTTTTTAAAAGGGGTGTTCTCTTTTAAAAAGGAGTGTCCAACCCGTGGCCTGCACGTGGGCCAGGATGGCCATGAATGTGGCTGAACAGAAAATCATAAATTTACTTAAAACCTTTTTTTGCTTATCAGTTTTCATGAGAGTTTGTGTACTCAACGTGTGGTCCAGAGGCACCAAAAGGTTGGACACTCCTGCACATAATACCCTACTAGTCAGGGGCACTCACCCCTTTTCCCGTTCATTATCAAATAAAAAATGAGAACAGCCAACACACTAGCCATCCACTGTGAATGAATCAAAATTATACTATTTTTGTCAAATAGGCAAAAAATATATTTTTTGGTGTGCTGCAGAATTGTGCCCTGAGACGAAAAAGTTTGAAAATCGCTGCTGTCGAACAACCAAAACAGTTCAAGGCTGCGGTGAAACTGGTGGTAGATCGCCATCTAGTGGAAATATTGTGCTAGTGAAAGCTTCAGTTAAAGAGGAGACATTTTTCCTGGAGTCGGGGAGGAAGGATCCTGCTCTGGTCCATTGCAAAGCCCTGAGGTTGCTCCGGTGAGGGGGCGATGCCATCAAGAGGATGTGCATTTTCCCGTAAGCATAACTGTTGGGCGTCCAGGGTGGCACCCCGTCGGTGCACAGGGGGCCCTGTGGGACTCTCAGATGCGGGGTGCTAACTGTATATGAGAGCATCCCCTTCTTGGGGCGCATACCCCTCATTCCTTGGCCACCCCCCGAAATTAAGCTTTGGGAATATAGCTCGTGGTTCAGGACACTGGAGACTCACCCTAAAATATCCTTGGGCTTCTCTTATAATCCCAAACTGATAGGGCCCAAATTCCAGAGAGGCGGGGCTCAGCCTCACCCAGGTTCCATCTGGGTTAAGGAATGGAACATGGATTGATGGAGGGACTAAGGACAAGGCCCCAGGTGCCCAGTGTGTTCTCCTGCTGGAGACGGGCCAGGGAGGGTGCCAGGCTCCCCGTGACGACCTCACCTGGGACGCCAGGACCGCAGCCAACAGCTGGTCAGCTGCGTGGAAGGCAGGGAGGGAAATGGCGCTCTTAATTAGTGTGAGTGGGCAGGCGCGTAATTACAGAGAAATGTACTCTGTAGACCAGACCAGTTTACTGCTTGCAATGAACACCGTGGCTCATTTGTTTAGCAAAAAGCAAACAACACAAACGACACAGCCTTCCAAACTGACACAGGCCACCCACTTCCTTTGGGACTGACCGCCACACAGGGACCTGGAGAAAATAGAGGGCCAGCCCCGGGCCTCCTCTGAGCCCTGTCCGTCCATCTGTTCAGCTGGGGGAGCCCGCAGAGGGGCAGCGGCCAACTTTCAGCGCAGGCGGCGGACAGTCCAGTCTTCCCTAACGCGTCTCCTCCGGGGTGCCCGACCCCCTCTGGCGGGGCAGCCTTGCTCACGCGTAGCCCCAGGACTAGGGGCCCTGGCTGTTCTTGTCCTCCTTCCGGCCCTCCTCTGGGGCCGAGCGCTGCTCCACGGCGGCCGGCGGTGGCGGTCCCTCCTCGGGGGCCTTGCTGAGGCAGGGCCCGGCTCCTGGCCTGGCCTCCGCAGGCAGCTGGCTGGGCCCGGGAGAAGGCTGCCTGCTCGCAGCCTGAGCACAGGGAGCCGGAAACAGATCAGGAAGGTAGCTGTCCCCTCCTGGGGGGTGCCCTAGAGCTTGTGGCCAGAAGGGACCAGGGAAGGACAGCTCTGGCAGGCAAGGGTCGCTCCAGGGCACTGTACCTGCAGAGTCAGAGAATATGCAAAAGGTCAGACCGGACTTAGGGCATTGGCCACAGTTCAACATGTTCTGTGGCTGAGTCGCCCCCCAGAAACACAGGGCAGGGCCCCGGCGAGTCTAGGTGACAGGCTGGCACCAGAGCTGCCCTCAGGACCGGGCGCGCCCCTCACTCGAGGTCCTGTCGTCTGGCAACAGTGACACAAAGTGGACCACACAGGCAGCAAGGGGACCAGGAACCGACGGGACATGTCTTCCTTCCCTTTCCCCTGAAGTTAGCCATCCTAAGAGGTAACATGTCAGCGTCCTCATACCAGCCACCATCTACTCTGTGCCAGCTGTGCCACTCCTGCTGTTTCCGACCTCCGCCAGCGCCTCTCTGACTGGGAACTGCACCCCCATTTCAGAGTCCGGGGAACTGGGGCTCGGCCGAGTTGGGAACCGCTCGGTCAGCCCGCACACCTGGGTCTTTGCGACCCTGCGGCCCTCTCGCTGACTCTGCTCCAGGACGCCCCAGCTGGCCCCCGGCAGGGAGGCCCTCTGGCCCTTCTCACCTCCCCAGTCACCGGAGCGCCTTCCCCTCCCGCCCCACTCACCCAGGTTCCCGGCAGGGGGCTGCAGCAGGACCTGCCCTGCTGGGGGCGCCGGGAAGTAGCCCTGCGAGGCGCCCCCGCTGGGGCCGTAAGGCAGCGGGAAGAAAGGGTCTTCGGGTAGCGGAGGCAGCAGCGAGCTGGGCGAGGGGAAGGGGAAGGGGGGCAGGCACGGAAACGGGGGCTGAGGTGGTGGGAAAAGCTGGGTCTGGGGGGCCTGGAGCAGCCCCTGTTGGTAGTCCTGGGCCTCCAGCTCTTCCAAGTAGGAGCAGGCCGGGGGTGGGGTGACACTGCGGGATGGGGGAGCATTTTGTGAGGGCGGGGGCTCCTCATTCCTACCGCACAGTAGGTGAGTGCCGTTCACCTACCTCCGCGGCCCCAGACTTCCCACCTCATCCTGGTCCCCTCCCTGCTCCTAGCTGCCCCCAACCCTCTTCACAGGCCGCCTCTGCTCCTCTCAGCTAACCCTGCCTCCTCCCCCTCAAGCTGCTATCTTTGCTCCTAAACCCCTCTCAAGATTACTCCAGAGCCTGTCCCCATGCAGCTCCACACCTTGTCCCCCAGGGCCCACAGAGGCCATCCTTGTGGCTGCTGTCGCCAAGCGTATCCATCAGCAGAGGCATCAGCTGCGGGGTGTGGACAGGGCCGAAGGGGAAAGGCAGGCTGGCTCTTCGAACAGGCGGGGGGCTGAAGAGCGGCGGGGTCGCTGCCACCCTCGGGGGCCCCTCCGTCTGTTGGGCTGGGGCCAGAGCCTGGTCAGACGTCAGCAGCAGGGGGGGCTCTGGGAGCAGAGGTCAGAGGGTTGTGATGGTACGAAAATGGGGAGGCAGACGCGGGGCTGTCGGATGGTAGGCACGGGCGATACCCAGGGCCCCCTGCCTGGGCCCCACGGGCCCACTCCTGGGCGTGTCAAGAGAGACCCTCTGTCTTCACGGTCTCCCCAGCTGGCACTCGCCCCCGCCACCCAGTAATCCTCGGAAGGTGCTCAGCTCACCTGGGAGAGTGTCCAGAGGGGGCTCCTGAGGGAAGGGGCCCGGCTCTGGGCCCACGGGCACAGCGGGTGGCAGCTCAGTGCCAGAGCTGGGGGCAGACAGGATGAAGGTGGCAGAGTGAGTGGTCCCTGGGTGCGGACAGGGCCTCGGCGCCGGGAAAGGGGCACCAGCATCCCAGACTCTGCCCCCCGCCAAGGCACTGGCGGTGTCCCCAGGCCAGGCAGCCAACCCGCTCTGGATATCAGCCCGCAGCCCCAGCCTCGCGCCCAGCCTCTGAGCACTCCCTCCTTCTGGGCCCCAGGGTCCCAGATTGGACTCCTCTTCCCGCCTCCCAGGGTGACCCAAGGAGAGAAGCTCTCACCTGCCCTGACTGCTGGCCGGGCCGGGGGCGGGGCCTGCAGGACTGTCCTTGCTCTCCTTCCCGTTCAGTTTCTCCACTTTTCGCCACTTTGCCCTGCGATTCTGGAACCACACCTGCAGGGAGAGACACCTGGAGGGCCTGACAAAGGGGGCAGAGGCTGGCGGGTCCTGCCCGTCCCTGATGAGCTAGCTACTGTGCCGCTCTGCTGCAGGTAGGTGCCTGCCTCTGACAGACTGGCTTTATAAAAGGTCCTTCTGATGCGCCGTCCTCTCCTGGCCTCCCAAGGCTGGAAACAGGCAAGGACACAGCCCTCATGAGACCTAACATTACCCCGAGTCGGGGGTGCTGAGCACCGGCCCTGCTCTTCCGAGGCCCGGGCGGGGGTCCTCCTCCCCCAGCACCCCCGCCCCCCGCCACTGGCCAGGCCCCTTTACCATGATGCGCTGGGGCGTGACCCCCACTGTCTGGGCAATCTCCCGGCGCTTGTCACTGTCGGGGTAGTGGTCTGCTTGGAAGAGCCTTTCCAGCTCCTCCAGCTGGTCTGGAAGGAGGAGGAACTCACATGAGGACAGACACCAGGGATGTGGCAGGGAAGGAGGAAGACAGTTGCCTCTGGATGGAACCACAGTCCCCGACCCCAAGGGCAGTCCCAGAGCCTTGCAACTAAGTTTCCTGCCAGCGTTTGCCTTCTCTCCCTCTCGGGCTTCATGGGTGGGAACTGGGCGCTGTTTACTTTCCTGACCATTGTAACCTGTTTCCAATTTCACTTTGTGATTAGACAGCCCAGCCTTCCCCTCAGACAGGCATGGCGCTGCCCCAGGTGAAGGGAGGCTGGGGACAAGGTTGTGCGCAGTCTGGGGTCGGGGAGAACACACTCTCTATTGAGTGACCTTTCCCAGAGATGACACCAAATCTCAGGCTTTCTCTCTCCTCCAGGGACTCACCTGAGCGGTATAGGGTTCGAGTCTTTTTCCGAGCTTGGCAGGTCACCTCCGGGGGCCTCTTCTGGTCTGTGTTCTGGCTGCTCTGGGCCAATGTGCTGAGGAGGTTCGCCAGGTGGCAGGACCCACGGCCTGACCCACAAGGCACGGGGTTGTGTGCGGCACGGGTGGAGGTGGGTGACGGTGAGGCAGGACCACCGGCAGCAGCCTTCTTCTGCTTCCCGGAGCCTGGAGAGAGGGGCCTTTTCCCGGCCTTGGCCTCTCTCCTGGGGAGGGAGCCCCCTTCTCCCGGAGGCCGGGCCCTCTCCTTGCGGACAGCCTCGGAGCCCTCAGCAGCACTGGTCCCACTCAGCGCCCCCGGGGCCTCTGATGGTGGCTCCTCCCCGGAGATGGCGCAGGAGCGGGGCGGCCCCCCAATCGGGGCATCCTGAGTGTGGGGCGCCGAGCTCGGCGGTGGTGGCGGTGGCGGGCCTGCCTTCTCTGGCCCCGCAGCCAGGGCCTTGTCTCCACCTTCCGGGCCTGTGGGGAGCCAGTAGGCACTGACCTTAGCACCAGGGAGACGGAAGAGCCTTGGATGAAGGGGATATGCCGCTTCCGGCTTAAGCTTTGAGTTGACCACGTGTAGAGTGGGGCAATGACTCCAGACGTGCCCTCCTAGCCTGGCGTGTGAGGGTCCCGTTGGCTGGCCCAGCTGCTTCGGAAAGGGTTAGCAAGTCTGTGCGACTCTCAGGGGGCCGTGCCTCACATACATGAGAGGTAGAGGGGCGATCCTAATGGGGGGGGTACTTCCTGTGAGTTCCCTGCTGTTTTCCCAGACCTGGACTGTGAGTGTGGACAGGCGTCCGTTCAGGCGTCTCTAAGGGACACATGCTGGGGCTGGGGGAGACTGGGACGGGAGAGAGGTTGAGATTCTGCCTCTAAGACAGGATTTTGGTCCTGCCACAGATACAGAGGTTATGGCTCAGAGCAGGGATGAGGCAGGGTCGGACGGCCCCTGGGAGCCCAGGAAGGGACGTTACAGGAGCGACCCCCTCCCATCCCCTGCCCTCCTCATGTCCACACGGAGCCCCTGCTGCTTCCCTGGAAAGCAGGGCCTCAGGCAGGGGCCTCAGCCTGGGCCACCGTCCTCACACAGGAAGGAAGGAAGGAAGGTGGGGCCCGCTGACACGGAGAGCCCCTCTCAGCCTCCCCGCTTGTCCATCTGTCTGTCTTTGAGCTACGAGGGGTTCACCAGGTGCTTACCACGCTCCAGGCACCGTGCTAGGCCCCTTTCAAAGATTAGTGCCCTGGGCCTTTCATCCCCATGAGGAGGGCGCTGTGCTAGTTTCCTTCTAACAGATGCAGAAGCAGGGACCGGAAAGTGGAGCAGTCTGCCTGCAGCAGAGGGCAGGCCCGCGCAGGACGCCTCCCCGCTGGCTCACAACCCCCCGAATCCTCAGCTCCAGGGGCTGCTGCTTCGTTTCCAAATACATTGGACTATTTTTTAAATGAATACTAACTAGTGACTAAGCACGATTGTTATTTTAATGAAACGGCAAGAGATGTAATGGGTTAGGGAATGACTTCCTCCCAGTGTGTGTAGTTAGACTGCCGGTCATGGGCTCCGGTGCTCTGTCAAATCGATTCCATGGGTGCACAGGGACCTGACCCCCAGGAGGGACCGCAGGCCGGTGGGGGGACAGGCCTCTCCGGAGGCGAGGTGAGGGGCAAGGCTGGGTGGGGGCGGGCAAGGTGGAGCAGGCTGCTCGCGCAGGTTTTAGGGGAGCTGGTGGCCTAGCAGGCCTGGTGCATTAGTGGGTGCCACTAAATGAGACGTTACCAAAAGACCCAGACTAGAGGAGTCCTAGGACTCCAGCCCAGATGGGGGCCTGATGGAGGGGATGCGGCGTTCGGGGGCGCCTCCCTAGCACCCCCGCCGAGCCCCTGGGCCTAGCCAAGTCCCAGAGCCCACGAGGCAGCGGCGTGGCCAGTGCCCCCAACCCGCCCCTAAGCCCCGAGCTCACCCCGTGGTTTCTGGCAGGGCTTCTGGGTGGGCTCCATGGCGGGGACTCCTCGGCGAGGCCGGCGGGCCACACAGGCGCAGCCTAATGAAGCCTCGCGGGGCGGACAGGTGTGCGGAGCCCGCACGGGTGCGGGGGGAGCCTGAGCCTGCGCCCCTCGGCCTGCTGCCTTGGGAGGCCAACCTGGGATCGTGGCTCGTGGGGCAGCTGCGGGGCCAGGAGGGCCCGCAGGGTGGGGGCGAGGTGGAGGGGCCGGGGAGGGCTCACGGGGTGGGGGGCGGGGGGCGGGGGCCGGGGCGGCTCGTGGGGTGGGGGGCGGGGTGGGGGGCTGGGGAGGGCCCGCCCCCGCGGCGCAGCCGGGAGCCCAGGTGCCAGGCCCCTGGGGGCTGCCCCTCCCCTCGCAGATTTAGAGCTCCACGCGGGGGGCGGGGGCGCAGGCGGGCCAGAGCGGGCTGCGGGGTCGTGGGGCGGGGGGGCTCGCCCTCGGACCAGGCCTGGACCAGGACCGCCAACCCCCTGGGAGGGACTTGGTAACAGGCTTGGTCGTGGCTTGAGGCTTGGACACAGGGAATCCCTCCCTGTGAACATGGAAGGCGACTTTTGGAGCCACTTGGCCCCGCAGCCCTGGACGTTGGGCGGTCTGTCTCCAGTTCTCCACGACTCAGGATTACTGAGCCCCCAGGACCCCTGGCGCAGGTAGCTGACCGCGCGTGATGAGGAGCCAGCCGAGAGCACCCACACTGCGAGGTAAGCCCGGCGCGCGCCTGCCAGCCCGCCCTGGCGGTGCAGGCTCCTGGGATGGGGCACGAGTGCGCACGCGCAGGCGGGCACAGGTCTACGCGAAAAAGGCACTAGGAGGTCGGGTTTTGTCCCCCTGTGTCCGCCCAGAGGATATCACAGTTTTATTCTTCGTGAACGAAGGGGGCGGCCCCATGAGGGAGTGATTTTATAATCGCTCCTTCATGGAATGTTTCTTGTCTTCTTTATAAAATAATTTCAGATTTAGATTCTGATTGCCTTTCGTTACATCTGCCCTTGAGTGGGCGGTGCTGGCCAGGCCAAACCAGGTGCCTGGCGCAGGGGGAGGGGGAGGGCGAGTGGGGAAGCCAGGTGTTTCGCCTTCAGCGTTCCAAAGACTGGACGCCACGGGGTTTGCTGCTGCGATCACCTGCTGCGGGGTCTTCTTGTGCCTGAAATCCCTATGAGGGGCTCCAGCTGCACGTGTGGGCTTTGGGCAGCGTTGAGAGCTTCAGTTCTTTCTGAAGCAAAAAGTGTAAACGAATTAACTTTGTGACAATATAATCAAAACCTCAGGCATCTGAAGTTTCCCCTCTGACCCTTATAAATATCCTGTGGGAAAGGGGGAGGGTTTAGAAACAGGTGCCAGTTTCTCAGCTAGAAGTGACGCGCTCTAGGCCCGGCGAGCACAGAGAGGCCTAGAACTTTCTGTGTGAACAATCAGGGCCGTTTGGTGGCGACGGGGTCGCCAATGGACCCCAATAGTCTGCTTGCTAAACGTCTCTGGGTCACCTCCTGCTTGCGGGGCCCACTGCATAAGTCACTGCCTTACTGGTGGAGCGGAGGTTGGAAAAACAGCGGGTCCACGCGCCGCGGCCATGCAGCGTGGCCGTCTCTGAGTGCGCAGTGCGCAGGTCATAGGAGCGTGGAGGGGCAGGACCCTCTTGGTGGACAAGGAGTGGGGACCGGGAAGTCCTTCTTGGAGAGGCTGACGCATGAGTTTGAGATGACGGTTGTTGGAAGGCGGCCGGGTTAACCACCCAGCTTACCGCGTCACGGGGTCACGGGGTCACGGCCCCGCGGCCACCCTACCTGGCCGCCGGGCCGCGAGCCTGCCAAGGCCAGCCCTTTTCTCTGAAGCCTCGGCTAGCCACCCCACGCCCACGTATTCCGGTTTTATGTCTCTTTTGACCTAGTGTTCCTCAACCCCCCCCGAAGAGCATTTCTTAGGGAATTTGTTAAAAACGTAGCTCCCAGGTTCTATTCCCAGGAGTTTTAATTGGTAGGTCTAGAGAGAGACTCAGAAGTGGCCGTTGTAAACCAGGCCCTCAGGTGATGTTTATTGACGTCAGAGTTTGAGACACTCGCCAACTTTCAAAAAACAAAGTCGATTAAAACCGTCCTGGGGATGGGAGAAGGGCGAGTGGCCTGCGGGGGCCTGTGTGCGGAGGGAGCTGACTTTTCGTCCTCCACCGCGGTGTCTGCTGCGGTGAACAGGGCACCACCCACTTCTTAGATTATCCCGCGGCCTTCAGGAAAGACCAAATCATCTTTCTGCCACCGTTCACCTTGTATTTGTCCTCCCTGCTGACTCCCCTCTGCCTGGGGAAGTCAGAAAGGCAGACTCGAGTCACCCAGAGCCCAGTCGGCGTCCTTACGCTAACACCGAACTGTACAGGGTCTAATCCTGCACAAGGCCTCAGTCTGGGCTTGGGGAATTGAAGAGGTTGGCAATTTTACACACAAATAATGGAATTTGTTGGGCTTGGGCTATGACATTAAAAAATTCAAGTTGCCTTTCTCCTGATATTCTTGGTTGGCTGTTTTGTGACTTTTAAAAACAATGATACAGTTTTATTTGTTTACATAAAATTTTAATTTTATAATAACAAGTGAATTTGGCCTAAGAAGGCTTGGGAGACGTTGACACGTTGGGAAGTCTTGACACGTTGTGTTGGGAAGTGGTTGTATTGATGACGTTTGCGGTTAAGAGTCCACTCGGCTGGGTCACCTTCAAGGGAAAAGTCCGGAAGGGAGACTTTTGTTTGCGGGAGGGCAAGAAGGTGTTATTTTCAGGGTACTTGGGAATATTTATTTCTGTCTTGTTTGGTTGCATTTCAGCCTCTTGATCTTCAGTCAAGTTCATATGCTCAACCTTGTTCAGAGGAGAGGGTTTTTAAAAAAATGTGTTACCTTTTTGGGATACCACACTGGGTACCACACCATCCACCTCTTAGCAAGAGCCACTTATTCCAATACCTTGTTCTCATGGATATGAGAACAACAACAAGAAACATATTTGATGTTCCTACAGAATAAAATCCATCATTGTTTTCAGTCTATGCAGAGCGGGCCATATAATTAGGTTAAGGAAGTGAAATAAGCAATCTTTGTCCTTCCTCTTTTTCTACAACGAGAAACAGAACCAGAAGAAGGTGGCAAGTTTCAAAGCAGAAACACAAGGTAATGTGTTCTTGTCCTACATGCCACGCCCAGGTGTAGGTGGTGACAGGCCAGTGACCCTGTTGTCCCTGAGACCGGAGAGGCAAGAGTCTGGTGGTGAAAGCCGGGCAGAACTCGGAGCAGGCCCCGGGTAGGGAAACGGCTGCCACAGCGAATGGGAGGTGGGGGCCGCAGGGCACCGCCAGGAGGTAAGATGCCTGGGGCGGGTGAGGGAAGCCCAAGGCAGTCACATGTCAGGGACCAGGACATTCTGAACCTGAAGAAGCAAACGGCCAGATGACCAGATAAAAACACCGACGGCTCACGAGGATGGAGCCG